TCGCGATGATTCGCGCAGAAAATCGCTCGCCAAGTGACTCACCGAGCAATCGCATCGACGGAAAAGCTTCATTAAGACGAATAACGCAGGGGGACTCTCCGTTCGAGGAACGGTTGTGATTTATCGTTATGTCACGAAAACACGAAGAGGCCGAATCTCCGGCAGCGACGTTTGCGAGAGCGCCGTGCATCTACGCACATGTCACTCCTGTCAAGTTATTAATAAACGCCATCCTGTCCCGCCGACATTACGCGATTGATCCACGGTTAACGTCGATTTGGCGCCGAAGTCCACTTTTTAGTTTTAAATCCAAGTATTTTGAACATCGCCTGATATTTATATAATTTATTTTATAATTTAAAAATTTATATATAATTATATGTAATTTGTATATAATTATATGTAATTTATATATAATTTATATATAATTTATATGTAATTTATATATAATTTATATATAATTTAAAATAATTAAATAATCCAAAATCAAGAAATAATCTATATTTTCTACAATTATCCTTACATGTTTAATGATAATAAATCCTCGCTAACGATTGTACAGAAACTTTCAAACTCTCAATTCACATTTACCGATGTCTGTATGGCAAATATTTTTACATTTAAAACAGGCTACTTTCAGACAATCCTGCAAACATAAAACTGTTTGTTATTTATACCTCGTTATAATCTGCGTAAACCGCTCGTCGCAAACTTTCTTCCTCGGTGAAACCCTACCTTCCTACAGGATACGTAACAGACACACTTCAAGTTGAACTTTCGCGGGGTACCATAACAATAAAAAAAAAAATTCCCAAATCAACTCAAATCGAAAAGCACGCAAAGCAAACGAGGGAAAACTAGGACAAAAAGACGTATCAATTGGATGCGGCGCGTGGTTATATTTATATCGCAAAACTTCTCTTATTTACGATCAGTGTGATTGACGAACGTCGATCTCGCGAGCCGACTCCGTTCCAACTCCGTTGGAGGATCGCGGAAAAATTCGGGATGGTCGCGTGGTCGTCGTCGTCGCTCCGCTTGACCGGCGGGGATCGAGGAAGCGCGCTTTCGAAAACGGAAACCGCAATTTCCCTCCGCGGGGGCCCGGAGTATCTACGTGCCGTTTGACGAGGTCAAGCACGGCACGGCACGGCACGGCACGGCACGGCACGGCGCGACGCGCGCGGACACGATGATGCGTGGCGGAGGAAGCAGCGGTGCCGGCGTACGTCCGGACCGCGTCGCGTGTGCGCATAGACTGCTAACTAACTTGGGCCGGGCGAGCGCGAGCTTCGGGCGCGATCGCCCGCACCGCCCGCGCCGGCCTTGATCGCGCCGTCTCGCTCGCGCTCCCTTATCCGCGCCCTATCGCTCTACCTGCCGTTTCATTTCCACGTTATCCGCTCTCCTCCTCGCGCACGCACTCTCTCACGCGTCAATCGTCTCGTCCTCTTTTCGCCTCTCCTCCTCTTCCTCCTTAACCTCCCCTCCCGCCGCGTTCGCCGACGTATTGCACTCCCTCCCCCCCTCTCCTCTTTCCGTGCCGGATTTAAAAGGAAACGCGGCGATGAGGCGTGACAATTTGCCTAATTTTAGAGTCAACGCGAAGGAACGAAAACAAACAAACGCTATATCATATCGATCGAATTTGGGATGGCTTTTTTTTATTACCTATATCTCGTTTATTTTCGAAAGTTGGTGTTGGAGAGTGTCGCCGCTGCGATCCGACCTGCGTCCATCGAGAGAATAGGATCATCATCTCTCTCTGGAATACCGGTCGTGAGGATTCGAGAATACACATGTATATATGTATACTGTAATGTATGTATGTATATATATGTGTGTATCATTGAATTGTTGACGACGTGTTATTCTAAACACGTTATTGCGATAAATATCATCATATGCCTCTGTAGTCGAAAGGATAAGATGTCTGCCTGATAAGCAGAAGATCCAGGTTCGATTCCTGACTGAGGATATTTTTCGCAAGATAATTGCGGATTTGTACGACTAGTTCGTGGTCCCGTTGTGGCACACGCCCTCTCTTCTTATTCTTGTTTTATAAAACTAAGATCACCTAAGATCAGAAGAATAATTATAAAGATAATAAAGTGGATTTATAATAAATGGATTAAAAAATATACATGTATTTATAACATATCGATATGGTTGGAATTGCATATTTTACAATTATGCAATGCCAGCATATCGAGATGTTATAAATTCATGTATATTTTTTAGCGTTTTTTTGTATTTGACATTTTAAATCATACGAAAAAAGAATCGATGTATGGAAGTTTGGAATATCGAATTTCCTTTGAAAATTTTATAGATTCGCTCCCTTTTTCCCCGTTAATCTCCCACGCGTTGATTTACCTGTCGTCGCGTATCGCTCGACTATTTTCGTAATTCGAGATATACGCGTTCAGGGAAAACGGCGTCGACGAGCGTTTTAACACTTTGATCGATGCCCTTTGTTGTGCGCGGCAGGGACTAACAAATGGAACGTAAAAGTTGGCGAAAATTTATAGTAAGTTCGTGCCTGCGCTCGAGCACGTGTCTCTACGTGTCATCCTTAAAAGTTAGCGGTCGAAAGTCGCACCGCCGGCTTTTATTTAGGATGCGAGACGCCGGTGAGCACGACAGCGGTTTCACAAACTTCTCGGATTCTACAGTCTCACAGGATGGAAATCGAGAACATGACCTCCGCCCTTTTCATGAACACCCTGCTCCTCTTTCGTGACATTCGATTCTCTACGACTTCTCGTTTCTTTCCAGTCGTCGTTCGAAATATATCCTGACTGGTGTAACAGAACGATCCAAATGTTCCCAGGATATTTCTATTAAATCAGATATCTTGTGTCTATCACTTATGTGAAATGTAATTTTATAAGAAAGATATGATATGAACGTTATCTTAATATTTTATTAATGTAATTTAAATTTATTATTAATTATTTTATTATTAGATTGATTTTTTTTTACAAAAATAGTAAATTACAAATGTGATTTAAATTATTTAGTGAAAAGATTAAGTTATAAGATTTCATAATTTTTATATTCACAAGAGAAAGAGAGAGAAATTTCTTCGGAATTTTTCTATATTTAATTAAAAAAATCTGAGACTTTTTTCAATCGGACCATTAAAGGATCTGATTATTTCTGTGCTGTATAATCTCGTTTTTAAATGTTTTTGTGAAATCTCGCAATATATGGACGAAAGAACGAGTTTTCAAGAAGCATGCATATACGCGTGACGATATCGAGCAAAAATGCATACAAGTATATTTTTGTAAAGAAACTCGACGATAATATTTCTGGTATTTGCTAAAAAGACTCATGAAAAAGGAAATAATATCAAACTTCCAAGCGGGAAAGTTCGCCCGTGTTTTATTACCGTAATTAAAATTTCACGAAGTTACAGACAAATTGGAGGAAATCTCGTTTCTCCTTTTATAGGTTTGGAGCGCAAATTTGACAAAAAATTTATGTCAACGCGACGTTATGTGCTCGAAATTGCATTCACATGCACTCAGCCGTACGCGAGCTACAAAGTAACAATTGAATGGTTGATAATAGCCGACGATGCTGGACGATATTCCGATTCGCGAATTGCGTGTGGTCGATGGGCCACCCGCACTGTTGTCCGTTCCACGACACGACAAAAACACGTCCCTTCGCACACGTATCTCTCTCTCTCTCCTCTCCACTCCAAATATTTTTACGCTGTTTTTCCCCAACCGCTTCGTAATCCAACGTAATCGTAAAAATTCAAGCGCCCGCCAAGATCGTAAAACGCGATGCTTATATTCTTCCTGATTTAAGCCTCGCGATGCACCATGAAATTCCAGAACTATTATTCTTTTCTCTTGAGACGGTGGAGGCACCGTGTGGAGTTGACCAAAAAAACGAAAAATTTCCTCTGCCGTTACGCATTCCTTCCTTATTTTAGCACGATGACCAAAATGCCTTTTTATTGTAGAAGTCAGATAATAAAATTTTATAGTTTGATGGCGAAATAAAATTATTTGAGATATCATTCGTTAGAAGTTTGTCGGAAGAATATAAATCATATAGCTACGCAATTTTTTAAAAATATTACGTTGCCTTATGAGAAATATGAACAAAAAATATATATAATATTGTTATCTAATAAAATTATTTATCTTATTTATATTTGCACTTTAAAAATAAGTTATATTAAGCAATTATATTAAGCATCATAAATTCACAATTTTTATATCTTTTCTGAAAAGAAAGTTTGAACTTCTTTTTCCGTCTGTCTCCATTTTATTTATCTCCATTTTATTTATCTTCCATCTTATTTCTATCTTAATAAAAACTAAAAACTACGTATTTGCAATATTCTGATTTCGCTCTGCTTTGCCCTACCATTCACCAAATTCTCCCGCCTTCGGCTGCTTTATTTTGGCGCAATCTTTATTCACGCTCCGATAAATAGGCAAGATATTCCGTATTAAAGGAAAATTGCCTCTTAATTAAGCAACCGACCGATAGCGCATGTCAACTGGGTATAGGGAGGTGCGAGAAACTCGTGCCTGCAATTTGCGTATTAATGGGATCCCACAAAGGCAGCGGCGCCGCAACTTTAAGGGGTGATAACGTATTTTATGGGGGGCAGTCCGGTACGCTTTATCCGCGGTTGCTATTAACGGTAAAATGATGTGTGAGAGAGTGCGGTTCCGCCCTACACACACACACACACACACACACACGCGCGCGCGCACACG